TATGTATATATCTCACACATGCGTTCAGACTGTGTGCCAAGCAAATCACGGCAGAGTAATCTTTATAAAACGAAAAATGCTCCATGATTTGCTTGTGAGCGAAATACTACCAGGTTGCCCAAACCAAGGTAGGGGAATTTTCCTCGGGAGTTCATGAATGGAGCCTTCGGCTAGACAAAACTTGACCCGCAAGACATCGGGGCGGAGTGGGAAAATCGCAATCCATTGGGGCTACTGGTTCCAGTTCATTGGATCATACTCCCTTTGGACGGGGTCAAAAGTACAAGATGCTCAGTTGACTTGATGACCATCACCACAGCCAGGAACGTGTGTGTGATTCGTACGCTTCTTCTTGTTTGTTTTGGAATCAGGGGTTTTAGCCAAGTCCCCTATGTGAAGTGCCAGGGGTTCACCGACCCAGTTATAGCCCAGGTGTTGATTTTTCGTCCTCTCACTTTGGTACAAAATTCCCACCGATCACCTTGCTACTTTATCGTGTCACAAATTGAGGCTACTTTTAACGTCACTGAGTTTTGCATATTCGGTATATTGCTTTATTCCTTTTTTATGCTCTTACTGAATTACCCACGTTGCCCTCAACCAAATCCATTATCCCCATATATTTCTTTTTATGGACTGGCTACCTATTTTGTGCTAACTAAATTTTCCTCTCTACCAGTAGTATTCCATCTTCTTTAGTAGATTCTTTTGGAAGATTAAAAACACGTTTCTCCTGATTAGTCAGCTGTGCTTTCAAATATCGACCGCGTTATCCATTGTTACCATCGTTGGATCACTTGATACGTAATCACTACTGTGTCCTAGCTGTTATGCTGCCCTACATTACATGAATGTTTTCGCCTTAGTTTTTAAGGCTTCGAATGAGCGATAGCCGTCATGACCAGTCTCGTAACATACACCAGTGCCTTCATGAAAACTATCACACGGAACCATTTTGAAGCTCCTACGTCCTTCGGTAGATCGCTAAGGAATAAAACAGAATGGACGTTTAGAAAACATTCGAAAGGAAGTATCGTGGGGGTTGGCGAGTTACTGTTCGTAGACGAGCCATCTCCCGTTTGAGTCTCTGTAATTCTCACTTGTAATCTCTGATCGGCAATGTGGCCGAATTCCCTTAATTTGCTAAACTACGGGAATATTTTGAGCTTGGCGTGATTGTGCTATAATCAAGCTGGGTTCACAAAAATAAGGATGATGTGATGTTTTATTTGCTGCCGCTTTGATCGTTCAGTTCCTTATTCTAGGCGGTTTTGTTATCATCATATCTCGCACGGTTATTAGTAAACCGTCAGAATATTCTCACCCACCTCAGGGGAAAACTCCTGCCTTCATTTTTCTCTCATTTACTGAAGTGTAGAATTCTTATAGTGTCTTTTTTGTTTGAAATTGTTTTATCTATCCACTGTATAAGTCGTGAACTGCTGAAATTTCACCCTTTGGGTGCATAAAACTTTTCTTGACTTGACTTGAATAAATAAACGATAAACCAAGTGTATTCTTTTATTCTACACTCCATATAAATGCATCCGTACTACAATATGAACCCAAACATTTAAGGTTCTCTCCATCAATTACTCTTGTGAATGTATATGTTGCTCCTTTTTGATCGTCTGAGGTTCTTGATGACTACGACAGTTTCGACTATGTTGATGGAATTCGTAGATACTATTTGCAGTATTCGTAGCGATTTTCGCATCCCCGTTTACTAGTCATTTGGTTTTCAAGACGTTTTCATCTTTCCCACCAATTATGATGTTAAATTTGTTTGGTAATATCAACCATCGTCTCTTTCCCCGAAGCCTTGATGAAGAGCTTCAAATCAGACAGCGTTCTCCAGTGAATCTCATGAAGCTAAGAGAAATGATTGTTCACTCCGACCTACTGTGTTTCGTTTTCTGTGACTACTTAACGAGGTATCTAGACCTTTTTCATCGAGCTTTAGCCAAATCCGCAATTCTTTAGCCGCAACTCTGATTCCTATAGCTTCGACGTGCTCTGGATGCCCTTGCTTGCGTCTCACACTTGTTCTCTTCTATGATAAGAAAAACTAGGCTTTCCGCCTATTTTTCCCAGACTATAGCGATCCCTTCAATAAGAATAATCGATAGTTTCAGTTTGTAAAACCATTAGCCATACACTTTCGTGTGCCGGTTTAGGTTGTTTTTTTTTGGCTGCCCATTTGGATGAAGGATAGGAGAAGACATGCAAGTTGGAAGTAGAGTCGAATAGAAAATGGAGAATTTCAGTGGTCTAAGGTTGCGAGGAAATTGCGAAGATGCAAGTATGCCACTGTTTACGACATTCAGCCGTATCACTCAGTGTCTCTAACCATCGGGTACGATTATCCCGAGGTCCCCAGCCAGGGAGCCTAATGGGACCTATGTGAGCCAGTTTCCTGGTTAGGGTTTTCATACCTTCATGTCAAATCTTAGCTTGGCCACCCTTGGCTTTATTCCACCCACTAACTGCATCGGCGAACATCGCTTGTCGGGGCAACCGATCTGGTGACATGCGTAACACATGTCCCAATCAGCGTAATCTGTGGAGGTCGACCACTTGCACCAGTGGGCGATCGAGGATACCCAAAACTCTACGCCTAACCTCAGCATTGCTCGTTCGGCTGCCCACCAGATTCGTGCAATGCTGTGTAGCCAGCAATGTTCAAACACCGACAGTCTACCTTTGTCCTGTTTTCTTAAGGGTCAAGTTTCTGCGTCATATAGCAGAACTAGCCGAACTGTCGCGGCATACACTCGACCCTTCACAGACAACCGAATGTCACGACGGCGCCACAGATGTTTGAAGTTGGCAAACGCCAACCGAGGCTTCTGTATGCGAGCAGACACTTCGTCCGCGATGTGTCCACCGGGTGAAATGTAGCTGTCCAAATTAGGAAACTTATCCACTTGCTCTATTAACTCCCCAGTTAGAGTGAGTCTGGGTGCTGAACCAACCCAGTCTTGTAGTAGCATTTTACACTTTGAAGGTGCAAAATGCATACCGAACATGGCTACACTGACATTCAAGCTATCCAGAAAAGCTTGCAACTTACCTAGATCTTGACTTAGTAGCACAATGTCGTCTGCATTATCTAGATCAGACAGCCTGCCACTTGGGAGTAAATCGATGCCACTATCCTTGCACGAAGATAGGGCTGTTTCCATAATCAAATCTATGACAAAATTGAATAGAAAATGAGAGAGAGGACAACGCTGATAAAATATATCCTTCCGCAGATGAGGTTTAATCTCCTTCAATCGAACTACCGGTTGGTTACTTCTCCAACCGTCAGCAGCTCAAACAATACCAAGATCACAGATCCTTGCTGCTGCCCTTCTCACAAGGCCCTATTTGTCCCCATTCCTATTCCTGCAAGTAATTCTCCGCATCTTATACGGACGATGTACTTACTATTTAGCTTACCCCACTTCATACCATCATCTGAGACCGTACTACAGTGTGGTATGATGGTCTCAACGAAGAAACCTTCTAAATGCGATGATATCAGTTTTCTTTTTTCAGAGGTGGCAGTGCGAGGAACTATGAAGTAACATTTAGTCTGAATGATCTTAAGTGGCCAGATAGATAGACCACCGTCCGATATCTTCAAACAATTTTATCTGGTCTAACGTGTTCCTGAAGGTGAGGAGACCCACTGTTGTGTTTTGCCTTTTTTGGTCACTTTTATACCTATTCACCTCAACGGGCTTGGTTTTCGCTTGTTTTACCTAACTGGTTTCGTAGGTCTTCTGTTATCCTCTCCGGTCTGTTTATCAAAGATAAAACCTCTTCTCCAGATACCTCAAGTTTGTTCCACTACTTGGTCATATCCCTCCTGAACACCTGGCATCGTATACTGTAACATACCAATTCAAAATTTGTAAAACATTATCCCACAAGACTGACTGTTGTCATCCTATGTATCCTGACTAGTCAACGTCCTTCTTTTGGTTATGAACCTATAAAGGCACGGATTGAAGCCCACATGCGTTCTATTTCTGCTGGTATAGAAAGATTTATCTTAAACTCAACTCGATTCATATGATCTGCGCAACATGTTAATCCAAACTGATCATTATTGTTGTAGTATGATTTCTGTTGTTGTCCACGTATTCTATCCTCATTTACTGCATTTTCTATTGTTTGAAAGGAAATGGTTGTGTCTGCAGAATATTCATCCTGTTGCGTGCCCTAAAACCGATCATTTCAAAAACTGAAGAAATTTCTTGAGAAAAGTTAAATTAATCTCAGTAAAATCAACGACGCATGCTGTTCAAACAATAAGAGAAAAGTGTACTAACAAATATGAAAAGTCAGTTACCTGATCTGACCTCTTGATTCATCCTAGTTAGCAAACGCTGTATATATATATATATATATATATATATATATATATATATATATTGTTCATTCTTACTCTACTTTATTGAATATATAATGATACAATTTTCAAGGAGGAAGCGGCCAATCAAAGGGTTACCATACAACACAAAGAGGAGATTCAGGTGGTGGTAGTGGGGTTTAGACACATCCTCCGGGCTGCCACCGCTCCGTGGTGCTCCTACTTAGATTTAAATCTCACCGATGCTTGTACTCTCGTCCAAAGATCAGTGATTTGAAGATTGTATTCAAAGAGATACTTATTCTCTCCATTGCTATTTCGATCTTCAGATCTTTGCGGTACCGGAACTGGGTCTCTCCATCTGTTCGAATGGGCCACAGCCATACCGGTCGTTGCCGGTTTCACGAACACTTACGCCCTGACGGCTGCGGGAGCCTCAGGTCAATACCCAGCTGGTTCACGAGGGGCACGCGTGACCGCCTTGTATTTCGATCGAAGTGGGCGACGAGTAAGTGTTCTAGATTTGCTTTTTAATACCGACTTCTTCTCACATTTCCGCTCTTTTCACCTCTTCTTTCCCCTTTTATAGTTTGGATGTGGTGACGCTGATGGTAACTTTGGTCTGTGGAATATGCAAGCAGCTTCCGCTGAGAAACCCCCCTATTTTGTGAGTTTGTCGTTTGATTATTGACGTTGTTCTTTGAAACCACTTACGGCACTGTGTGAAATGCGGAATTTCATGTATTCATTTACTGCCCCTTGATCTCTTTCGAAAAGCAATTTTTGCACCTCCGAATGTTGATAGGTTTACTCCTTGTTAATCAGAACTAACCTTTGTTTAAATCCTTTTAGCTATTTACTTGCCTTCTGCTCATGCAGTCAAAATTCTTATTGCATTTAGGCTGTTTCTCCTCCCATTTACAACTAGTTTTGTGTGGTGTGGATGTTGCCATCGTTTTTCACATTTTTGAATGCATTCTTTTTTGGGACCTGGTAGCGTTCACGCATTGAGTCGCATTCTCGTTTGATTCCTTCTTACTTTTAAGAAAATGGATTACTAGCTGCTCTTTCTTCCCATATGTCTGCCTATTTCTTTCTCAAATGTGCTATTATTAATGACAGAGAAACAAAGGATAGGCTTTTTGGTTCTTTTAGGCAAAATAATTACATGACTGCCGTTTCAGTTTCAGTTAGTACAACCATTGACCATGCACTTTCGTGCGCCGGTTTAGGTTGTTTTTTTTTGGCTGCCCATTTGGATGAAGAATGGGGGAAGACAGGAAAGTTGAAAGTAGAGTCGAAAAGAAAATGGAGAATTTCATTTGCGAGGAAATTGCGAAGATGCAAGTATGCCACTGTTTACGACATTCAGCCGTATCACTCAGTGTCTCTAACCATCGGGTACGATTATCCCGAGGTCCCCATTCAGGGAGCCTAACAGTATATATGTGACCCAGTCCCCTGGTTAGGGTTTTCATACCAGGTTCAGTTCAGTTCTGAAAAGTATTTTTCTACGTTTCTTCATGTAACAGACCATTTAGAAATATTCATTTAGGTAACGAAAATGTTCTTTGATTTTTCACCTCTTTTCCGTTTCATCTATTCCTCTATTTCTGTAGCGCTGTCACTGTCATGCTAAGAGCTTGGCAGACTTCTGTTTTGTGGGCAGCAGTACTTTGATTGCCACCGCGGGTAACGGTGGAGGTTCCTCGGGTGATACCGGTTCATCCAGTCACTTGATTGCCGGTGTAAACGTATCCAGTGGTCCAGCAACTACAGTTGCATCTGGATCCACCGGATTGTACCGCTTTGGTGCAGATTCAACCAGCTCAGTCGGTATGAGTGCGACCAGTTCGTTTGGTTTGGAGCAGAATGCTGCTAATCTGGCTCTGTGGGACACTTTGCTGCCACCGAATCGATGTGGTGTTATTCGTAAGTGATCGTTCTCGCTCTCTTCCGCGGTTTTGGTACAGTTAATTCACATATTTGCTTTTAAATGGCACTAATCTAAGCAGATTGTTCGCTTTGTCTTACTTCGGGTTAAATAAAATAGATGCACTCTTCATTTGTTTCCATATGTGTTATTTTGACTGCATTTCCGTTATTTTAGATACCGTTCGATGTATTATGTTTACTTGTTTACTTATCAATATGTTCTGATTTATTTGCCAACGGTCTAATGTTTAACTAAATTGATTTTTTCAAACTGGCAAGCAACCCAAATCGTACATCAAAAAATGTTCACCAATAGCGAATTGGATCCCGTTTATCCAATTCGGTAGAT